AGAATAAATCTTTTGCAGATGAACAAACAGGGTAAAATTATCCATATGCTGCAGACAGTGAGTACTTTTTTTAAGTGAATTAATGTCACCAGTGGTGGTGCTGATTGCCTTTTTAGTCGAGCACCACTCATAGCGACCCTAAGAACAAAAGGCCTGAAGCCCCTCTACAACTGCCGACATTTTATCAAAGTTTATAGTTTCTGGAGGCATGTTTTTTAGGAAGTAGACGGCAGCCACCTTGTTAATGTGCAACTGGGACTCACACCGCGGATCCAAAGGTCATGCCTTTCTGGTGGTTCAAATCCAACAGACTCCCCACAGAGAAACGACAATCTACTCTTGTGATATTTACAGCCTCAGAAACATGCTGGTCAGCTATGAGGTGGACCCAACTCAACAGTAATGAAGTTAGAGACCAGACTGTTGTGGTTACGGGCCAGCAGGTCAGAACCAACTCACAGCTGGCTCTCCAGAAGGTTCTCAGAGAGTGTCAATGGCATGAGAAGAGACTGCTCATCTTTCTCCTGTGAAGTAACTGGTAGATTCATCTCACTTGCCTTTGGGTTAACTGTACAATTCCGTACCCACAAGGTAGAGAGACTAGAGCAGAGTAGATTATAATGTTGTTGTTGTTGATTGCTGTCAAGTTGAGAACGATTCATAGTGACTCTGTGAACAAAAAGCCTAATGCCTTTCCACAACTGTCGTCATTTCTCCAAGTTTACAGAGTTTCCAGAGGCTTATGGTTTAGGAAGTGGATGCCACTCCTCCTTCCAAACCTGTTTTACAACTGGAGGCATCGCCAAACACTGTCTACATTGGGAAACCATTATGGTATTTTATATCTTCAATGGCACAAAGTTCAGCATCACAGCAAACCCAGGTTACTGCATACAGCACATTAACAATATAATGTACAAAATTAAAATTTGAGTTTAACAAAATACATCTGTTAAAAACAATTCCTTTTCCATAGAGATCTGAAAAATCTCAATATAAATCATAGTTATAAAAAATGTGAGTCACCATTGTGTTAGCACCTTAAATATATTTCTCTGTATTTACTTAAACAGACATGTTACACATGAGGTAGTCATCTGCTTCAATGATTTCCTTGTGAAAGCAAAACTAAGTTCCACCACAAAAACAGAAAAAAAGAATTATCAAGTTAGAAAAATATTTGCAGTATATGCTCCAGACTTAAGGCTGCTGTCTTTAATAATTAAAACACATCTCAATATTATCAACAATTATAAAAAATTAACCACCTTAAAACCGAAGATGCT